TACAGTTCTCTGTCGGAGGGCTGAGAACTACTCGGCGCCGAGGCCTGGTCGGCACTGAGCACTGGTCGGCCAGGGGCCGGCTCAAGTCGTCAGGTGCCAGCCCCCCTTTCTTGGTTCGTGCTTTCTCTCGGATTTCCTCTGGTCCCCGTCGCTTGGTCTATTCTTCTTTTATCTCCCCATAACATTACTAAATCTTTATATTAAAATGCGAATGTTGCATTGAATAGACTAAGATTACAATCTTTGAGGTTGTGAAAAATTATAGATTATACTAGAAAGATGATGAAAATATAATAACGTAATAAAGAAAAAGACATTTAAGTCAACATGTCGACATTTCGTCGATATTTGAGTTGACGACATTGGCGGAAAAACGACTTTTCTCCTATATATCAACGTCGAGCACCTCGACATGTCGCTCGAAATTTGAAACCATGGATAAAAGCCTAAAAGGTATATTGTTTTCTCAAAAAGGAAATTCTCGTTCTTGAAATCAAGAAAAGAAATGAGACATGGAAAGGGAACGCTTCTACTGGAATTTGCATTTAAGGTATTAAATTTTCATAAATATCTCAAACATTTTTATATATTAATGGGTTGGACTCTAAAATGAAGAGTGATTGACATTTACATATTATTGCTAAAAGACCAACAAAATATTATAATAATATATTTATCAACAAGATACCATACCATACCATAATAGTAATATTAGTATTAATTATTTTAGACTTATTTAAAAGAGTAGAACGTGTCTCTGTTCATTTAAATATTTAAGCAATAAATCTAAAAATAGATAAATCACCTAAACTATTAAGACAAGTAAGCTTCCCCGGACTATCCCACCTAGACGATCCAAAATCGAAAAAAGAAAAAGATTAAATAGAAATGAGTTAAAAATAAAGGAAGGATGAAAAAACTTATGAGTAGGAAAGCACTACGAAGAGCAAAAAGTCCACAGATTATGAATCTTTCTATAATCTTTTCAAAAATATCCATGAATATCGATATTTCTATAAAATTAAGATTTCGATATTTAAAAAGTTGGTAAATAACATAATCCAAAATCAAAAGGATTTGTATAGAGTTTTTATTTCTTTTTATTGTACCTTTTTAGCAATTTGCATCGTCGTAAAGAAAGTGAAGGGAGCAACAATAAGTTGGAAGAAGCTGCAAAACCACGTCATTGATCCATTTGCCTCATTTTCTAATTGAAGCAAGTTAGAAAACCTTTAAAGTTCCAAAATCAAGAAATAAAAATTGAATTTGTCCCATGGACCACACCTATCAAGAAAAAATATTTTGTTTTTTGTTTGTTTTTAGTATTATTGTTTTTTAAAAATTAAGCTTATTTTTTACATTTTTATTTATAATTTTATCACCTCCAGAACACATTTCAATTTTGAGTCAAATTTATAAAATAAAAATAAGTTTTTGAAAAATTTTTGTTTTAAAATTTGAATTAAATTTTGAAAATACTTTTAAAAATTATATAACAAAACAAAGAAATACATAAAATTTGGATTTGATTAAAGAGGTTTTTCTTTCAACCCTTCGAGGTTAAGAAAAAATAAAAAAGAAAATTTGTAGCTATTGCACAACTCTTGAAAGAAAACGACACATAATATCACGTACGTAAGTCGTGAGACGATCTAATAGTGGAAGAATTTATGCATTCCGATGCAGAGGTACTTAAAGACGTGACAAAACAGAAATTGGGGACAACATACACATTTTACTCAACTTAGTTTTAATTTCTCTTAAATGCTACCTCATTTTTTTTCCTTTACCTATCAACCTAATTTTTTTTTCTCTCTCTCTCTCTCCATATCTACCTAATTTTCTTCTTTTAGTTAAAATTAAATGTCATTCTTACTTAATCTTTTTAAAAGTCACTCTTACCTTTTTTTTTTCTTTAATAATATTTTACTTGAAAAATAAATAAGATGGATGAAAACTTAGGTTTGTTCAATTTAATTTGAGATATATATTAATAGAAGAATACAAAAGAAAAGCATACAAAAGTGATATTAAATTGAAAAATATTACTCATGTAACACACAGTGGTTGTCCTCTTGCCTACAATTTCTGTTAGGGAAATACAGTGGTTCTAATAGATTGTTGCGACAAACACATTAAATCGTGACCAATAGACTCGTCTTATCCCGAAGTCGTTTCCCTTTGATACCATTGATATGAAAATGCATTTGATAAATGCGATTTCACCACCCTACTTTTGTAATTACTTCCAAAACTGCATTTAAATTTTTTTTTAAAAGTACACATGATTTAAAAAGATAAAAAAAGTTTCCCATTTAAATAATTAATGAAAAATACTAATTTGGTCTCAATGGTTAAAGATCCCACGTTGAAAAAAAAAGATACCTCACAATACTTTATAATAAACATGAGCTATGCCAATTAATGAATATTAATATGATATCAGAGTCAAAGGAGCCCTGATCTTGATGGTGTAAATGATCCCACCTTGAAAAGAAAAGGGACCTCAAATGTATATTTTTCATTTGATTTTTTATTCTTATTTTTCTATGACAATTTCAACCCAACGCTATATTCAATAAATTTCTTGAAATATAACAATAACTTCATATTAAAGAGTTCTCATTATGTATAGAGTTTGTGCTAAAATTTAAAAAATAAATATCAAAATGATCACTTTTTGAAAGTATAAAAAACAAAATGAACAAATAAAAGTATAAAGACTTACCAACCACTGGATTAGAATCAACGTTTTCGGACTAACGTAGTATTTTAACCTAAATAATTTTATAATTTATAATTTTAATACTTTATTGGCAAAAATATCGAAATCGACAAATATCCATTGGTAGGTTCAATCGACTACTAAATTCGTTGCTTAAATTAAAAATGCTTCGCTCTGTATCAAGTATCAATCAAGTCCACTGACTTCTTTTCAAGGACTTTTCACCTTTCGCTCTTGAGAGCGGATTGCGGTTTGCTCTCCTGAGCTCGAGCTCTGAGAACGAAAATGGAGGCCATGGACTGCATCTACAGAAACCCTAGCGCACCAATCGAAGCCAGAATCAAAGATCTTCTCTCCAGGATGACACTGAGGGAAAAGATCGGGCAGATGACCCAAATCGAGCGCACTGTGGCCACTCCCTCTGCCATTACAGATTTCTCTATCGGTACCTGTTCCTCTACCTTCCTCGATCGATTTCAGATTGAAATTTGGTGTTTCGTTTCGTTTTGTTTTTGCATTTCTTCGATTGATTGTTCGTTCGTTTGTTGTGGCCGTTGGATTTTGATTCTGCAGGGAGCATTCTCAATGCCGGCGGTAGCGCGCCCTTTCATAACGCCTTGTCGTCGGATTGGGCGGACATGATCGACGGGTTCCAGAAATCGGCGCTACAGTCGCGTCTTGGAATCCCGATTATATATGGCACTGATGCTGTTCATGGCAATAATAATGTTTATGGTGCTACCATTTTTCCTCACAATGTTGGGCTTGGAGCCACCAGGTTAATCAATTTCTCTTTATACTTTTTTTTTTCTTTTTTTCATACGTGAATTTTATCTGTTTGTTTAAAACGAAAATCTAATAGGTCTTGAGGCTGTTCGGTAACTGTTTCCATTTTTGGTAATTTTTTTTGAAAAAAGAAAAATAAAATTACATTTAGTAATTATTTTTCATGCCTATGATTCTCTCATATAATAAATTTGAAAGCTAATTTCACTCTGCTAATGATAAGACAACAATTACTTTTTACTTCAGCAGAAAACAATTACCTTTTACTTGAGGTTGAATGTTGGGCCCCATTTTTTGCATTCATTGAACTATTTTTTTTTACTATCAAAATTAAAATTTTTAATGTTTTTTAATATTTATTGTGTGATAAAATAATGTTTTTATTTATATGTTTAAAAAATGGAAAACAAAAACTAAAACAAGATAACTATCTTGTTATTAGTTTTATTTATAATTATTTGATTTCTTATAAAAAATATTTTAAAATCCAAACAAAAGTTTTAAAACTTTATTTTTGTTTTTAAAGTCTGGCTAATAATTCAAATGTGTGTGAATAATTTACCAAATAAATTGAAAAAGTAGGCATAATTTAAAAAAATACTAAAAATAAAATTGTTATAAAATGGTGACTTTGTTGTTCTCAAAATTAAATTTGTATACATTTTTGAGAAATTTTCTTAAAAATTAAAAACTAGATTTTTTTTTACCACAATTAAAAACTAGAAATAGGTATGCTACCAAAAAAAAAAAAATAGAAATAGGAGAGGAGAAACAATAACATTACCTAACAACGAGCCGAATTCTCAGCATCAACTTAGCTCAACTCAACAGTTAATGCACCCCTATCTCTACATTTTTTGTACTCGGATAAGAAAACAACACCTAATTTCCAATTTCACCTTGAAAAGCACCGTAAAATGTCTTGGGATGACTGAGAGTTGAGAAAATGTAAGTTGGCGAATGTTTGTATCCTTCTTACTCCATTGACGCGATGCAGCTGCGATTTTATGTCAATTTCCAACTTTTGAATTCTCACTGTAGACCATTTCTGGCCATTTGAATTGAGAGATGTATGTAACTATATTTAGTGCCAATGAAATGTAATTTGGTATTGCCCAAGATTAGCATTCGTCAACTTTTCCCCACATGAAGAAAATCGAACTTATATAATGAAGTCGATCTTTTTCCAAGCTGTCTAATTTTTAAGAAATGCAGATGTTGGCTCGTTTTGTTTTCAAGAAAACAATAAATTGACTTAAAGTGCCAACTTTGAGCTGTCCTCTCTCTCTCAAATTGTTTTATTATTTGTTTTCCTCTGGCTTTATCAGAATCTCAGTATACTTTAAATGGATTATAGAGATGCTGATTTGGTCAGAAGGATTGGGACAGTAACAGCTCTTGAAGTTAGGGCGAGTGGTGTTCACTATGCATTTGCTCCTTGTGTTGCTGTAAGTAGTCATGCTGAACTCAAATTATATAAGAAAGTTAAGAATTTTGAACATGGTTTCCTAAAAGAAGATCTTTATTTGTTATAATTTGCTATATTCTTCCCTTTGGATATTCTATTAGAGTGCAAGTTGTATTCACTACAAATGATTACTTCAGGTATCGAGAGATCCCAGATGGGGAAGGTGCTATGAGAGTTACAGTGAAGATACTGATATTGTTAGACAATTGACTTCCATAGTTGAAGGCTTGCAGGGGAAGCCACCCGAAGGATATCCAAACGGCTATCCATTTGTAACTGGAAGGTATAGAGAAGTTTTGTCCATATTTCCTGGACATGCTTCCTTGACTCCCCTTTTTGACTCCCCTTATGTTTGATAAAAGAATTTGGCCAAATAGCATAATCATAATACGGTTAAATTATAAGTTTAGTCCCTGAACTTTTAGAGATACGTTTAACGGGTTCTTGAACTTTATAAAGTGTCTAATAGGTCTCTGAAGTATAAAAGATATTTAGTAGGTCCCAAGATATTTTATCAAAATTTAGGGATTCATTGAGTAGGTCCCTGAACTTTCAATTCACTGACCTATTAGACATTTTTTAAAATTCAAGATTGGTTCTTGAACCTTTCAAATTTTTGTCGAATAGGATCCAAAAGAATATTAGGGACCTATTAGACACGTTTTAAATCTAAGGACCTATTAGATTCAACAATAAAGGTTTAGGCACTTATTAGACACTATTGAAGACTTATCAAACACAATTCTGAAAGTTCAAGAACCAAACATGTAATTTAACTTATAATAACCATAAGAAATTTGTATCGACTTATTTGTTTGAATTACAATTGATATTCTTTCCCTGAGTTTCTGTAAGATCATCCGTCACCTTGCTCCTTATGGCCTTTAGGTCCCTTATAATTGCTACCTTTTTCTATTTACCTCAGAAATAATGTCATTGCATGTGCAAAACATTTTGTTGGAGATGGGGGGACTGACAAAGGTGTCAATGAAGGAAATACCATTTCATCTTATGATGACTTGGAGAGGATCCATATGGCTCCTTATCTGGACTGTATTGCTCAAGGAGTTTCCACTGTTATGGCATCTTATTCTAGCTGGAATGGACGTCCGCTGCATGCTGACCGTTTTCTGCTGACAGAAGTTTTAAAAAATAAGCTTGGATTTAAGGTACATAGGACAGCGATAGTTTCTTCCACTTAATTATTGTGTGTGCCTTTGTCAGACTCAAATTTGCTTCACCAGTTAGAATTAACCTTTTAGTTTATGCTCATACCTATTATTTGGATATGCCAAAAAAAGGTGTACGCAAATAGAAATGACTAAAGGAAACCAATGACTCTCTCTCCTTAAACAACCTATCTTCTCCATACTTAGTCATCATTTTAGATTATCCAATCCTGAGAAATACGAGCTATTGGTAGGGGTTCAATCTATTAGCAGGTATTTGTTGAATGGCACAAAATCTGCTTAGAGTGTTTATGCATTGTAGTTGTCCTCGGAGTGAGTTGTAGTTTTCTAATAGATTATCTTTCCCCTATGCTTTGGTTTTGAGTAATGGCTGTTATTCTGTTGGTATTACTTGATTCAGGGTTTTGTGATTTCTGATTGGGAAGGACTTGATCGTCTTTCTAAACCAAAGGGCTCAAACTATCGGTTTTGCATTTCCTCCGCGGTTAATGCTGGAATAGACATGGTGCATCCAAGGCTCAAACTTCAAATTCATATTTTATTGGTTTCTTGAGTTTTTCACTGAAAAGGACTAAACTGAAATGCAGGTGATGGTGCCCCTTGGATATGAAATATTTATCAACGACTTGCTAGTTTTGGTTGAATCTGGGGAGGTTCCAATGGCTAGAATTGACGATGCTGTGGAACGAATATTAAGAGTGAAGTTTGTTTCTGGCGTTTTTGAACATCCTTTCAGTGATAGATCATTGCTAGACCTCGTTGGTTGCAAGGCAAGTTTCCAACCCTTGTCCTATACAAGTAGCTGTTCCTCAAAAAATATCCTCTTTTTTTCAACAAAAAACAAAAAAAACCATATAGGTAGTTATAAGTTTAATTTTTAAAAAATAAAATGATTATCAAATAGAATGGTAGTAATCGAAACACTTGACGTTGAACCAACTGCATGTGTTGTAAAAAAGAAGGAAAAAACAAATACGCGGACTGTGTTACAACTCATTTACAAAGAACTCAAACAAGGTTTTATTTTTTTATTTTTATTTTTTAATTAAAAAAAGAAAGAAACACAGAACTCAAACAAGTTGTGCTTACTTCAAATGTTTTCTTTACTATACATTACACAAAATTATCTTTTTAAGATTTTTCTTCTAATCTCCCCTTCAGCTTCACCGAGATGTAGCAAGAGAAGCTGTCCGCAAGTCATTGGTTCTGTTGAAAAATGGAAAAAATCCAATGAAACGCTTTCTTCCATTAGACAGGAACGCCAAGAAGATTCTTGTTACTGGTTCACATGCTGATGATCTTGGATTTCAGTGTGGAGGGTGGACAGCTTCTTGGGATGGGATGAGTGGCAGAATCACCATCGGTATATAACTTGCTGCATCTATTCTTAATATAGATTCATATATTCTTCCAAATCTGATTTCGTGTTTTTTTTTAGTGATTTTTGTTTGGCACTTGAGAGTAGGCATTTTCCTTGACCTCTCTTTTATGCTCTATTATTCTCCTACGAATTCACCAAGATGCTGGAACACTTTACTCGATACTTAGTTGGAAATGTTCTCAGGCTTGCATTTATTATGAATTCTCTCTGTATTATGAATTCTCTCTGTAGAAGACTCAAGGTACCTCTATGACTACCATCTCATGATAAGGTTAAAATACTATTTTGATACTATACTCTCGACCTTGTACTATTTCGACTCTCGTACTTCTAAATATCCAAATTTAATTGTTGAACTTTTAATAAATTTAAAAAATAATCCCCACCATTAGTTCAGGGTTAACTTTCAAGTTCTTATAGGTCTTCCTTCTAGAAATTTGGGAAACAATTCCTAGACAAAATATATATATATATATATATATTTTGTCCAAAGTCATATGGAAGTTCACCTCAAATTAACGACGAGGACTATTTTTAGATCGAAAATTATAGGGATCAAAATGATATTTCAACCTTATTTTAAGTAGTCCATTGTAGGTAAGTCCATCTTTGTAGTCCGTGTTTGGTTGCGTACTAATGTATTAAACTCGTCTTTAGTAGTACTGGAATAACTAAGCTCCAATCCTTCCAGAAAGTGAAAAAAATCTGATCCTAGAAGTAGCCAAACTTGAGTAAACATCCTTTTATACCCTCCTGCAGTCAACTTCCTTATTTTAACAGCATAGTTTGTAAAATCTGCTGTGCTGAGATATTTTTGGGGCAAAATGTTGTGTGTGTGAATGTATTACTGAACTCAAATTACTGTTCTATTTATTAGGAACCACCATCTTAGATGCAATCAGAGAAGCAGTTGGAGACCAAACAGAAGTAATATATGAACAATATCCATCAGCAAACACTTTGAATGATCAAGATATATCTTTTGCTATTGTGGCTGTCGGTGAAAGTCCATACGCCGAATTCACCGGGGACGACTCAAAGCTCATTATACCCTTCGATGGCAGTGGCATCGTAAAAGCAGTTGCTAACAAAATCCCCACACTGATGATTCTAGTATCTGGAAGACCCTTAGTTTTGGAGCCAACAGTAATGGAGAAAGTAGAAGCTCTCATTGTTGCTTGGCTCCCTGGAAGCGAAGGAAGCGGAATCACAGACATTATCTTTGGAGATTATGATTTCACCGGTCGATTACCCGTTACATGGTATAAAACAGTCAAGCAACTGCCAGTCCATGCAGAAAATAATTTGCAGGATTCGTTATTTCCTTTCGGCTTCGGGTTATCGTATGGTAAAGAGAAATCTCCTCAGTAATTGAACAGACTTGGATCCACAGAGCTGATCAATAAATTGACTGCCCCTCCTTGATATAGGTATGGTTTATCCAAGTCTTTCCACTATTATTCCCATTGTTGTACTGACAGTTTGTATGCCTTGTCTTTGTGTTGTGCTGTTCCTTCACCAAATCTGGCTCAGATCCATGTAGGAATAAGGTATGGAGTTTGTATAATAAAAAATGATAACAGGAGATTATCCATATTGCTGTGGCCTTGTTTGATAAATCAATATATAATTTATATTGGGGCAAACTTGCTAGACTTTTACGTTTTACATTTTAGTCTTCAGCCTAAAAACAGAAGCAAATATTTTAACCATTGAACTATACTCATATTATAATAATATGACGGTAGATTTTTATAAAGAAAGATGTTCACAGTTTTATTTGGTTTTTCACTAAACTAAAAATTGAAACATTGACGATTAGTTTGCTATATATTGTAAATTCCACACCTATTTTGATACCAAATTTTAATTAAATATTCAAATTTGGAACAATATTGTTACACACCTATTATATTACTCTTAAACATGATATTTTCTAGTGTGGAGTACTTTTGACATGGTAAAAGTGCTTTTGACATCCAAACATAGCATTATTATTATTATTTTGACAAGAAATCGAGTTTTCATCTCAATAAAATATACAAGGGCATTAAAAAAAAAAGAAAAAAGAGAAAAAAAAACCAGTCCAACAAAAGGAAGACAGACCTGCCGAAAATGGCCCCAATCTAAAAGAATACCTAACTAATAATTATAGAAATCCTTGGTAAGGAGGCCTACAAAGAAATATTAATTCTTATAAGCTCTCAAGTAGTTTTTCAAAACCTCTTTTTAACCCTCTAAAAATTCTATTGTTTCTTTCTTATGCCCAACAAAATGGTGAAAAAACACCTGCCAACTAATTTTGCCCTTTATCCCGAGGAGGGATACAACAAAACCCCCTCCTCTATCACTTTGCATTCTCTATTTCTTGTCTCGGAGATTTTGAACTGCAACATTAATTAGATGTACATTGTTTCAAATAGATTACAAAATAAAAAATAAAAAGAGCAAAATCTCCATGGTAGCAGAGACCCATTCACAATGAAATCACTGGCAAGCCAAAATAAACAAATGGGAACCAGCAAGATTTGAAAGAATCTCAAACCTTGGCTTGAAATTAGCATCTGCTTTCTGTTGGCCCCCAAACTTCAGTTTCATTTCCAGATTTCTTCTGCAAAACCTAACATTTGGGAAGGTCATTTGGAGGAGGAAGAAGAGACTCCTCTGGCCCTTTGCCATTGTCCACTAGAAATGCTATCTTCAGTTCCGATGTGGTGTGCACATCCAAATGGCAATGCATAAACCAAATCCCTGCCAATATGAAACAACAAAAACCCCACAATTTTCACAACACATTCATTTCAGTCACTTTCTTTATAAAAAGACCAAATAGATTTTAGTCTGTCATTTTTCCGACTGTTTTCAATCAAGTCTTTCATGTGATTAAACATGGAAAGAAATATGAGGTGTGCATTTTGAGTTCAAGCTGCGGTGGGAGTTTGTGAACTTTGTTGCAATGGTGGTGGCGTTTTGGAGGGACAGGCCGGTGAAGCTGGTAGGGTTAGTATCAAGTGTGCCTGGATAATGTAGAGTGGCAGTGACAGTCACATTATCAACCGCGACGATGGGGTGTCTATAAAAGGTGATGCCGATACTGCATACTTGCCACTTTCAACGTCGGCTGTCAAAAGGGCGTTTGTCGTTTGGCCAGGCGCTATGAGGATGGTGTCGATGCTGAAGGGTTTCGTGTATGTAGCATCGAGTTCGACCACAGTGAGCTTGTGCCTAGCAAGCTTGAAAAAGAACTCTTTATTCAGTGCAACGTTGATGATTTGCAACAAATATGTATTACCAGGTTGTATGGAGAAACCAAATATTTTCTTAAATCATATATTAGGAGTGTCAAAATTGCATCACTAAAGGATGCCTCATTAGCAGGAAAGCGGGAGATTTTCATTTTAAGTGAGATTAAATATATCTTAAACTATTAGCTTTAGCTTTTGACTTTAGTATTAGTTCAACATGGTATCGTTTAAACCCTACCATAGCAATGCTATTTCTTCCCCAATTATTAGTGCTAATTTCTAAACTCACAAACAAAGAGAGAGTGTTAATCATATATATATAATATAATATAATTTATCAACTTAAGCTTTTGAATTTAGTGGTATTTTTAACGAATTCCTAACTTCTTCATGCTAAATGCAAAAGGCATTGCCTCAAACAGAACAAAAACATGCTCCAGAATTTGCTTTTAAAGCCTACATTGCAAAAGGCATTGCCTCAAACAGAACAAAAACATGCTCCAGAATTTGCTTTTAAAGCCTACATTTACCTCGTGTGGGACAACCATGGGGACAGGCCCAGGGTGGCCATTGATGGTGTGAGCCATATATCAGAGACATTAGGAGCCAAACCAGACTTAGTAGCCTCATTAATAACAGCTTCAACATCAGACTTCCACCACTCACCTAAAAGTAGAACAATAAAAAGCATTAACAAAGAGTTGGTTGCGGCAATTCAACAAACACCTACAGTGCATTAGCAGAGTTCTATAGGCTGGCCCATCTGCCCATGCCGTTCTTACCTGTCAAATTCCATGCCAATGATATATTAAATAGTTTAATGATTTCTATATTCTATTGGCAAAAATATCAGAAATCGACAAATTTCCATGATCGACTACTAAATCATTGCTAGAATTAGAAAAGCAGCGCTCTGTATCAAATCCATTGACTTCTTTTCAGGAATTTTGAACTTTCGCTCTTGAAAGTTGAAAGCGGATTGCGGTTCGTTCTCCTGAGGAAGAAAATGGAGGCCATCTACAGAAACCCTAGCGCACCAATCGAAGCTAGAATCAAAGACCTTCTCTCCAGGATGACATTGAGGGAAAAGATCGGCCAGATGACCCAAATCGAGCGCACTGTGGCCACTCCCTCTGCCATCAAGGATTTCTCTATCGGTACCTTCGTCGATTGGAATTTTTATTGCATTTCCATTTCTTCGATCGATCGATCGATTGATTGTTTGCTTGCTGTGGGTGTTGGATTTGATTCTGCAGGGAGCATTCTCAATGGCGGCGGCAGCGTGCCATTTCACAACGCGGTGTCGTCGGATTGGGCGGACATGGTCGACGGGTTCCAGAAATCGGCGCTAGAGTCCCGTCTTGGAATTCCGATTATATATGGAAGTGATGCTGTTCATGGGAATAACAATGTCTATGGTGCTACCATTTTTCCTCACAATGTTGGGCTTGGCGCCACCAGGTTCACCAAAGTCTTTCCCTCTTTGAAACTTCTGGATTCGTAGGGATGCAATAAATTTCAAATTATTTCTGTTATTTGAATGAAACATAAGATTTAAAATTTAAAATTATAATTTTAAATACTGTTTTTTTTATAAATATTTTTTTATCTCAAATTTAATCCTTTATTATCGGTCAATGTATTTCTATCACCACTCAACCATCCTCAAATATTTGAAATGCATCACTCATACAATCAATGCCTCAAACTTGTTCTATTATTATTTTTTTCACTATTTTTTTAAATTTAAATATAAGTCTGATTTAATTAGTAATTTTGTTTTTACGACTTTAATATTTTTTATGGAGATTTTTACGAGGTTTGTTTTATAATAAATATGAAACTTTCAAGCTTTAAATTTATTAGGTTGATTTAATTTGATTAAGTGATTTGTTTTTTTTTTAACCCTGCAAAATTGGGTAGACGATATAAGTATTTATATATAATATTAAGTTTAAAATTTTACAAACCGATATAAATTGAAAATTAATACATATGAGACCAACAAAATGTCACAGTAATGATATTTTTATAAATACATATTTATTTGATGTATGTAGTATAATTTCTTTTGTTCTTTTCTCATTTAATTTAGCATTTTTTTTATTCATGTTTTATCTGTTTGTTTACGAGGAAAATCTAGGTGAATAGGTCTTGCGGCTGTTCGGTAGCTGTTTCCATTTTTGGTTTTTTTTTTCTATGTTTTAGTAAAATGTTTCTTATATCTCTCGTATATTAAATTAAAAAATAAAAAATAAAAACGTTCATTGAAATTAATTTTTTTAAAAAAATATAATATTTTTATGTTGTATTTAATTTTTTAATATTTACTATGCCTTCTCTAATTTAAAAATTATAAAATAATACATCTTATTTATATACGATTTTGTTTTTAGTTTACATTTTTAAGAATTATACTTCCTTCCTTGGAATTTTTCTTAGAAGAATTAAAAAAACAATCTTAACAAAATTTTTTAAATTATTTTTGTTTAGTTTTCAAATTTTTATTTAGATATAAAATATTTTTGAAAGTAGTCAATAAAACAAAGAGGTGTAGTTTTCAAAAATAGAAAAAGAAAAAAGAAAAACAAAATGATTATGAAACGAGACTTTAAATTTTTTTGTTGTGCCCTAAATTAGAATTTATACACAAATTTAGGAAGATTTCTTAAAAGTTAGAAACTTGACATAGTAACACTTTACGATTAACATACCAACAATACTTATGTTTCTACAAAAGAGAAATAAGAAACAAAAAATTAACAATGGCCAATTATCCCTGATTTTCACCGATTTGAACACGACTTAATTGGTTAAGGTATGTACCTTCTACTAAAAGGTCGTGCGTTCGAACCCACCCTCACGTGTATCCTTCTATCAATCTCCAATTTCTTAATTCTCACCGTAAACAGTAGACCTTTTCAGGCTGTTTGAATGGAGAAATATATGAAAAAATTGTTTTATTATTTGTCTTCCTCTGGCTTTATCAGAATCTCACTATACTTTAAATGGATGATAGAGATGCTGATTTGGTAAGAAGGATTGGGACAGTAACAGCTCTAGAAGTTAGGGCGAGTGGGGTTAACTATGCATTTGCTCCTTGTGTTGCTGTAAGTAGTAATGCTCATGCTCAGCTCAAATTATATAAGAAAGTTAAGAATTTTGAACAAGGTTTGCTAAAAGAAGATCTTTATTTGTTATAATTTGCTATATTCTTCCCTTTGGATATTCTATTAGGGTGCAAATTGTATTAACTACAAATGATTACTTCAGGTATCCAGAGATCCYAGATGGGGAAGGTGCTATGAGAGTTATAGTGAAGATACTGACATTGTTAGAAAAATGACTTCCTTAGTTGAAGGCTTGCAGGGGAAGGTGCCTGAGGGATACCCAAAGGGCTATCCATTTGTAGCGGGAAGGTATAGAGAAAAGTTTTGTCCATAATGAAGCATATGCTTCATTGACTCCATTTATGTCTGGTGAAAACAATTGGCTAAATAAATCAACTTGTTTGTTTGAATTGCACTTGATATTCATACCTGGCTTTATATTCTCTATGGCGTCAACCATAAGTTTGATTACATCACGTTTAGTTTGAGTTGGACGATGAAAAGTTTGACAAATAATAGCAYGAGGGAGGCAAAAGAATTTATTATAACTTTTTATATATATAACCTTTCAATTTTGAAAATTTAGGGGGTAAATTAAATTAGGGAGAAACCTTTTAAATCTTAACATCTGTTATATAGTTTTTTTAACCTAAGATGGACTAAGAGTTCTTCCTTCTTCACCCTGCCTTGCATCTAAAAGCCTTGTAGATCCCTTACTTATGTGTTATGAAAACAATTGGTCAAAAGTCATAATATATCTGCATTAACTTGTTTGTTTGAATTACACATGATATTCTTATCTTCAGTTTCTATAAGATCATCCATCCCACCTTGCTCCTACTGACCTTGTAGATCCCTTCTAATTGACACTGTTTTTCTATTCACCCCAGAAATAATGTTATTGCGTGCGCAAAACATTTTGTTGGAGATGGGGGGACTCATAAAGGTGTGAATGAAGGAAATACCATTATTTCATCTTATGATGACTTCGAGAGGATCCATATGGCTCCTTATTTGGACTGTATTGCTCAAGGAGTTTCCACTGTTATGGCATCCTATTCAAGCTGGAATGGACGTCCGCTGCATGTTGACCGTTTTCTGCTGACCGACGTTTTAAAAAATAAGCTTGGGTTTAAGGTACATAGGACAGTGATGTGTGCAGATAAAATTTGCTTCTCATCATCGGTTAGAATTGAAATTTCAGTTTATACTCCTACCTAGTATCTGGGTATATGAAAAATATGCATGGTACAATGAGTCTACAACGAAATATTTACTTATGAGTGAGGCATTCTCCAACCCCAAATGGAACAAAATCTGCTTAGGGTGTTTATGCATTTGTAGTTTCCTATTAGATCATGCTTTCCCTTATGCTTTAGTTTCTAGTACTGCTAATGCCTGTTACACTGCTGGTGTTATAACTTGATACAGGGTTTTGTGATATCTGACTGGGAAGCACTTGATCGTCTTAATGAACCAAGAGGTTCAAACTATCGGTTTTGCATTTCATCTGCAGTTAATGCTGGAATAGACATGGTGCGTTTCACGTCCAAACTTCAAATTCATATTTTATTGGTTTCTAGAGTTTTGAATTTACAAGGACTAATCCGATATGTAGGTGATGGTGCCCTTCAGATACGAGCTATTTATCAACGACTTGTTATATCTGGTTGAATCTGGGGAGGTTCCAATGGCTAGGATCGATGATGCTGTTGAACGAATATTAAGAGTGAAGTTTGTTTCTGGTGTTTTTGAACATCCTTTCAGTGATAGATCATTGCTAGACCTTGTTGGCTGCAAGGCAAGTTTCTAACTTTTGTCATATCCGATTAATTAGCTATGGCACATTTGTGATTGTTTTTTAATACAACAATATGTGAGGGTGGGGATTTGAACTCACAATCTTCTAGTCAGATATAGGTATCTTAACCAGTTGAGCTAAGCTCAGGTTGACACATTTGTAATTACTATAACCCTTAATTAAGATAACTTTTGTTGCTCTTTACTAGAGAAACATAAATGTTATTCCCTAATTTAACCACTTTCTGCTACATCCATGAGCTTCCAAGACATCAAATTGTTTAGTTGATTATTTACTCCCAGGGAAAACAATAAAATGAAAGGGAAAATATTAGACTCAAAATCTTGTGCTAAACTTAATTTAGTGAAGTATTTATAGGTAAGAATTGTAAAACTAGGCTCCTATCCATGATTTAGAAGAAAAAGGAAAACAAGTTAAGAGCATTGAGTAAACTGTTATATGGGGTGACTTAGTGGTCATTACCAATGAAAAATGTAAGGGATTAGTGGTCATTATCGATGAGAAGCATAAGAGATTAGAGAGAATGAGTTCAAATCATGGTGGCTATCTACTTAGGAATTAATATCCTACGAGTTTCTTTGACAACTCTGTAGAGTATTGTTTGGTGGTTGTCTTTTGAGATTAGTCAACGTGCAAGCTAGCTTGGACTCTTTACAAATATAAGAAAAAATGTTTAGAGAATTGAGTAATTAAGGATTTGAAAGGAATAAGCAACTATTATTTTAACTGTCTGAGGAGAAAATGAGTTGGGTTGATGAAATAGTGTAGTAATTGATCAAATACTTTGTCGTTGAACCAAGTTCTTGTGCTGTATTAAGAAATCTAACGGTGTTTCGATGATAATGTTGTAAGTGCTACAAGATCAGGAAGTCAAACTATCATTTTGACTGCAGCATTGGTTGTCCAAAGACTAAAGGCAAACATGTGGCTTCTGATATAGCTTATAACTCATATACAAAGAACTCAAAGTTTTTCCTCCTCAAACATTTCAAAGTTCTCTTTTGAAGATTTTTCTTTTAATCTCCCATTCAGCTTCACCGAGATGTAGCGAGAGAAGCTGTTCGCAAGTCGTTGGTTCTGTTGAAAAATGGAAAAAATCCAACGAAACCCTTTCTTCCATTAGACAAGGATGCCAAGAAGATTCTTGTTGCTGGTTCACATGCTGATGATCTTGGATTTCTGTGCGGAGGGTGGACAGCTACTTGGAATGGGACGACTGGCAGAATCACAATTGGTACATAACTTGCTTCATTTCAGTTCAGTTCTATTAAGGATAAATAAACATCACTCAATCAAAAAGCTTAAGCTTATGGATTGGATAAATTTAATTCATATACGGATATCTCAACAAGTTCAAATCTTGAATATTGCCATATATACTTGGTACTTGCAAATTCACCAAATGAGTGTTATTTGTATTAGGTACCACCATCTTAGATGCAATCAGAGAAGCAGTTGGAGACAAAACAGAAGTAATATATGAGCAATATCCATCCGCAGACACTTTGAATGATCAAGATATATCTTTTGCTATTGTGGCTGTTGGTGAAAGTCCATACGCTGAATCCGCTGGCGACGACTCCGAGCTCATTATACCCTTTAATGGAAATGACGTCGTAAAAGCAGTGGCT